AGATCGGAAACATCACTTTTCAACAATAACAAATCCTGCAGCAGACTTTGATCTGATTTGTCACGATTAAATATGAGGACCTATTTGCCTGAGACCTTCAAAGACGCAAAACTGCCTGGGGTCAAATTATTTAACGTCCACATTGAGACCGGTACTTGGGCGGCGGAAATTAAACTGTTGGGTCACCACCCCATGAAACTGAACTACCTCAAGGCTATCCGTCATTCTTAGAATTAGGCGATTTCAACAACTAGTTTGTTCTTTACGCTGCGTAAATTGACAAATTTTTCTCGACCAAATGAATGATTTTTTGCAGGGGTTCCTTTTTTTGTCAAAAGGATATCCAATCCCCTGAGATCATTGAAACATGACTCCGAATCACAAGATTTAGTGTGAAAACAACTAAATAAGTCTCAAATTCGATTTGAAAGTCACTGCACACTGAGAAACCTGATGAATTCAGAGAAATTTGGGAATTCTCAGTTGAGTTGCTCTTCCGTAGGTGAAGCCTAGCTATACCCAAATCCGAGAGACACAATGCAGCCGTTTCATCGACTTTCCAATGTTCTCAATGGGAAATTTCCTCTGGCCCTCTCCGAAGCCTAGCACATGGGGGTACGTAACCCTTGGTGCACGCTATTGCCTAAGCACAGCACTTGTCACGCAACCAAATGATTTTTCTTGGAGACGTGTTATAGCTATCGACAAGTGCTTCTCTCGGTCTGCATTCAAGGACGCGTCCCCACTTTTCCGTAGATAAAATTAACGCACAACTTAGTAGGAAACGTGACCAAGGCCCTTAAACTACAATCCCACTATGCTAATCGCATGCTGTAAGTCTTTCAGAGTTGACTCTATCCATTCACCTTGTTGGTTTGGAATCACAGTTTGACTTTTTCTCTCTTCGATGTGCAATTACTGACCCTAAATTGAACTGTAATTGATATTAAATGGCTTTATATTGTTCGTAGTATAAGGAGACTCGAGATTTTTGTGGAGATTTCGTCCTGTAAGTGAAGCCAATCTATGCTGAAAGGCTGAGAAGCACTGTACAGCTGTTTCATCCTTATTGGGAATCATCAGCAGTGCGCATCTCACGAAACTCCGAAGAGTCTCGAACTCGCGACCTCCTGGCTAGTAGTTTCAACACTTAACCGTTCGGCCACGAGTGGCAGTGTGACTGATTTGCAATTAGACAGGATATAGCGCCGCTCATACTTCAGTCACGGGATCCACATCACGTGGTCACACGTATTGACTGTCTCCTCGAGCAACAACTTCTCGGATAGAAGTTTTACTCATCGGGTGAAGTTTATTCTTCCACTGAGCTCCTTGTCGATTGTTGGTAGTGTGAGGAGATTTGGGATTTTTGTGGAGATTTCGTCCTGTAAGTGAAGCCAATCTATGCTGAAAAGCCGAGAAGGAGAATATTTCTGTGAAGAAGCAACAGCTGTGCCGAACAGAGGCCACTTAACAGCATACCTCACTGGTATAGTTCGGCTACAAAAAGTGCTTGCTCTTAATCGATCCAAGCCATTTAGCGATAGCTAGAAAAGTAGTAACAAATGATGGGGAAGCGAAAGAATGTGAAAATAGCTGCGGGTTCTACTGCAACGCAGTCATAATTAGTCAATAGGTACACCGACAAATAACCACAGCGTGGCTTGACTACTGATCCTGCGCTAGCGGCAACTCATCGATAACCCATTCAATTGTGGAACAACAAAGCACTGCTCACTCAAAAAGAACACAAACACGCGTGAACCCATCAGCACTGTCAAAACTTTACCGAACCTTACCTGACGATATGGAGGAACAATGACTTGTAGCTCAGTGAACTTTAACGGACTAATTATGCAGGTGGTGTACTACTTTGCAAAATTAAAGACAAGTTAGAACCAGTAATCAGTCTTGCCTGCTTTGAGTTGGCCTGCGCCACAAGTCTGCCCGGTATCAAATAGGTAGCTAAAATACCTGAATAGTCGTGCCTCGTCCCCGAATATCCTTGTACACGACAAGGTGTTCCAAATTAACAAGCCCTCAACTAATATAGGAATCTAGACCGACTTGCTTACATGCAGAATTATTGGAAAATGCACCTTTTGGTGTAACGCGGAAGACCACCATTGGGCACATTTGCTTGCCAGGTCAAGCCTAACCAGTGGTTTGCTAATATCGAAAAATTTCTTCCCTCATCCCATTGATTCTTACTGGGTGTAACCGGTTATCGTGATGTGGTATTAAGCAGCTATTTGTCTGTAGCGTCTTTGCTTGGATATATCGACCCACAATGTACAGTGGCCTGGGTTTTATGATAACCGTCGGATGGCCGGCAATTGACAAGTGGCAGAAACTTTGTACATTATATGGAATCACGTTTTCGGATCAACGAGTCACGAAAAAATTACAACAGAATGGGAAACAGATGGATTACTTCAAATAATAAACAGTTCTTAGAGAAGAAGGTTTCCATTGGAACTAATCGTTTAAAATTATTAACTGGTATATATTTGCATTAGGAAAGGTACGTTTGATTGAGTAATAGTTGACTTTAAGATACCGGCCTGGCGCTCTGAAGATAAAGAACCTATCTTCCGAATACGGGAGGGTATACAGCTAAATTTTTTTGCAGAAACAGAAGGAAATCAATTTCTTCTGTAAGGTGGTGTTTTTGAGAAAGACTTTGCGGGTAATGCGTGATAAGCGGAACCAAAATAAAGTAATTCCTCGTGAGGATGACCACTCCAGAAGAAGATAAGAACACATCGTATCCTAGGTGATAACACCAGTCATATGCTTTATTTTATTCTTTAGAAACTCTGTCTGGTCGCACTACAGTGACTGTAAATTTCTGTTGTTCTGTAAGAAGCTTACTTCGGTTACTTTTAATGAGGAGACCCGTTTCATTCTGCATTGCCTGCCTCAAAGCGCATAACATAAAGTTATCCTAATGTTATCACCTTCGTTGTTTACTCGCAAGCAACACGAGATGAAGCTCACGTATATGAGAAGATAAGTATCAAGAGCTAAACATTCCGAATTCGGAATTTCTCCGAGTCATTAAGAAACTTATGCTGCACAGCACAACAAAGCAACTTTAATCGAGACTTGGTTGTGTGCCTGGGTTAGACATAAGTGCCGCCATCAAGCCAGAAAATCAATAATCCAATGTCGTGGATTTGTGGCGCATTTAAAAGGTGCTTCGCATTACTTCATGGCGGGCTACCACGTAGGTTTGCATTCCAAACCTGACAAATGCACACACAATACTGATCGATAAAATAGTGTCATCACGGAGTTGGTTATGCCTGAAACATATTTATGATTGAATAATTATGTTTACGAAATTCGAAGCCAATTAACGGCCGTTCCTCATTTAAATCTTTCCATAAAATGATTAGGGCAAATGAGGATGATCATTTTGGTAATCTTACGAACAAAATAGATTTTTTCCATTGATGAGTTCAAAAGGCGGGGGTTGTTAGTTACTTTGGACTGAAGTCTCACCTATCATATGCTGAAATTTATGGTGATGGTTATGAACCAGGATAGTTTTGCACCAGAACTTTTTTCTGACAAGGAACACGTAGTCATTTAATATGTTGTATAAATTGCAACAGAGTTTACCGTCCTTTTGAACTTTTTTATTTCACCACAATTTGACCGCCACATACTTTGACAAATTCTGAGGAATTTTAAAAACATCCACTCTCAGTTTTATGATATTGTGTTATGCTCTCAGTAATTTGGTCGGTTTCAACTACCAAAGTTCAGAACGAGCCTGAGAAACACTCTAATTCTTTGTGTTTTCAGAGAAAAAACATGCCGATTTCCCCTTTTCAGCGGCCCAAACACTTGCCTTCAACAATACAAAGGCGGAGAATAACTATCCGTTCTGGTTGCTTGATCTTCGAAATAAGAACTATTTAGTTTTCACGATCATTCGTCCTACAAAACCTTGAACAAAGGTCTCGTTTAGATCATATTGGAGAATTCCCAACTGCCTCCCCCCATGGAAGTTCATCTCCAACAATTTTGTTCACTGCCATTTCTAGCACGACCACTTTTTGAAAAAGTCCAAGTTGAAAGTCGAAGGTGAACAAAGTTCAAACAGCTTGCCGACTTTAGGAATCCTGACGTATTATCCAAAAAGTGATATATTTTCTACAACCTGTGTAGTTTGCTAGTATGTTTGGACAATACAACCAGGTTAAAAACAGAAGAGCCTGTTACTTTTATATAAGATCAGACAGAAACCACCTCTCCGTGCGCATTGTCGATAGTTCAGTAATTGTGCCATGCGGATGGCTGTTAAGCATTGTCCCCCAGACGCAACCCACTATTCATAAGGTTGCTGAAGACCCTTCGACAGTCCACGACCACCTTCTTGGGACTAATCAGGAAAGCGCAGTCATAATGTTCCTACCAATCATGAAAAAAGAGATTTAGCGGTTTTCAGTTGATTCTCCTGTCAAACCCGAGTTCGTGCGTGAATGGGGGTGTTTGTCGAAATTTTAAGCGCTTTTGTTCGTTAGCTACAACCCAAATGACTCCAAAGTCTCTAAAGGGGCGTTGAATTCTCTAGAAATCTGACTACTGGTTAATAATTATTCTTAGTATCGAAAACCCATACATTTAGGATATTGGAGTTCAACGAGAGTTTTTCACCAAGTGGTTAGAAACCAGTCAGACTTCAGACGAACTCGATTCACTGGTTAAGCCAATAAGAGACGATCATGTGGTATACATCATGTGGCTTGAAGGCCGAGTGTGAATTTTAAACCTAAGTAGCGGGTAACCACGATTCCCTAGATCCATCTAGAGAGTTACAGACAAGGCGGGTCCACTTTCCCGCTTGGAAACTATCTGTAAGCTAAGTTCGAGATGGAAGAATGTCTCGCGAACCAACAAGTTACCTACCTGTCAGACATAAAGTAAAAGGGGACAGTCAAAGCGGGAAAATGTATTCTTGTATATATATACGATACACGGAAACCTCTTTAGGTGCATAATACGGAGCTAGGCTTGAAAAAAAATCTGGCAGCATGATCAACCCCATTTGTATAGAAGAAAGGTTCGGTTGTCCAGTGTAAAGTGAAGGAGTCCGCGTTCACCGTGGGTGATGGAGCTGGAAGAGAGTCGAGAGAAGTTTTGTAAGTCACAACGGGGATTTGACTGAGAGCTAAAAACTAGTGCCTAATGTACTCATGGGTTTACCACTCCTAAAACTCACCTTCCGAAGTTATTCCCAATAATACAGTGCCAAGTTCGTTCGTATTTTTTATCAAAATACTTTTTCAAGTGATCCGCAACATCTTTGGAATCCTGATATTTGTCCAGAGCGTAAGCGGCCTCGTGAATCGCCTCATCGGCTACACGTTCATCCAACTCACAAACTTTAATGACGGCTTTGCGTTCATCCATCTGTCGACTGGTCAGGCTAACTGTGCATCAACCCGGAGTCCTGAAGATGCATATCAACGAGTATTTAGGCAACGCGATTGGTGTATCGATCAGTGCGGGCTCAAGCTCACTTTGATTGGTGTGAAAAACCATGGCTACATTGAGGGTTTGTCTCCGTGCGCTGGCACACTGAGCTGGCATTCAGAATATCCGACCACATATGGGTAGACGTACACACCTATGCTAGCGCCACATTATGCGTAAAGGTTCGTGAATCTATTCGGTCTACACTCGCTAACCTAATCGTATCAGTCAGCCTATCACGATGAATTCAGTTGTGTAGATGAATTCGAAACTGGATACTCAGCATAGCAATAGTTGGAACAAGAGTCCGACACTTCTGTGCCAAGTGATCGATAAAAAACTCACTTGTTAACAGACCTTTCTATAAGTTTTTTGTGTTGAATCACACAATTTTCTGTCCCAGTAATTAGCTTGAAACGTCAATTCATTGATCCGAAAACGGATCAATGAATTCGAGAAAACTAATGGTTTATTGAGCTATTGTTACCTGTATTTGAGTATGAATAAGCTCCACGCTGAGTTGCATCTAATCCGCACTAGGCGACAGCTGATACCGCCACAGAGATCATTTCTGCTGAAAACATTTTCATGACCGCACCACCGAAATGATAAAATGACATCTGATGCGGCATAATAAACCAGAGTTCTTGTAAAGGAAACTACTCACAAGGTTGCTGAAAACTCTTCGACCTTGTGAGTGGTTTCCTTTATGAAAACATACTGCAATAACTCGAATATCGTGCCAACTGAAACATGAGGTGGCATGTGTGCAGCACATTCAGCTGGAGGACATCATAAACGAGAGATTCGATTGAGTCTCCCGTGAAAACCAAATTGATTTGCAAATGAGTGTATTTCTCGAAACCAAAGTTTTCCTTCCATATTTCTTCTGAGCATGGTGATCCATGCAGGAACGCAATTTATGTGGACGCATTCCAGATTTGACAAAAAGGGCTCTGCATTCTCTGAAAACAGGATATAATTGATAAAACTTCCAAAAGATCGATGTTAATCTGAAACAAAACTCGTTTTGACACTAGATTCGTTCTAACCCAACCCAATTCGACTTTACACTGTGCGGTCCCCAAAATAGTCTGTCTATATTCCAGGACGAAAACTGACCACAATAATACAGTTAATACAGGTTACTTAGTTCCTTGTTGCATCCAACAACTGTTGTTGGCATATCATCGCACTGACGGGATCTTGGTAGCGCGAGTTGACTCATTTCTAGATCTTTAACCATATGAAAAATAAGGTGAAGCAATCCTGCACGTGAGATTCATTAGTACCGAAGAACCGAGCAAAAACGTGTTGTACCTTCAGCTTGGTACCATCCAAATAAGCAACAATTCTGTTTACCCTTGTCCTCATTTCACTCAGTCAGTGAATAAGAAATGCAGTAATCGATGTAATTATTTGACTAACTAGTTACCGACTTATCCTGACAATCACCTGTCGGCTGATTATCTCCGTGAACTGACTCTTACAAGGGAACCAATAAATATCACGGCATAGATTTTGAGTTTCTTGGATGTTTACGGTAAGGATGTGTTTCACTCCTGGAAAGCTCACCAACATAATGCCTTTCCTCTATCAAGAGTTTAATAAAGACACATCAGGCTTGCAGACTGGTTGACTGGTGATGTGGTTCACAGCTTAAGGTGAGTATCCAAAACGGCATGTATACGCTACCGGTAAACCAAGCTGAGATGTCCTAACTGGGACGAAAGTTATGTGTTGCTGAGGTTTCAGGACCCAACTGTAGCTCGGCCATGAACTCTGCCGAGCTGCACTTATGGAAGACAAGCCAAAACATATTCAGTTATCGGATTACGCTCAAACGTGCAGCTAATCTTAATCACTTCCACACCGTACCCTCGAAGCAGCACGTTTTACCGCGTGCGTTCAAAGTGGAAACGTCGGGAGCAATCAAGGAAGTCGGAGAACAATCCGTGCAGTATGCTGACAAAATAAAAGCACGTGATGTGTCAAGCAAAAACGGCTCATGTGTCTATCATCAATGGTTTGCCATATGCTAGATGAGTACCAAAGCACTTGGAAGCTTTCCAAGTTAAGGGCGCAAAAGTGAAACAAGTTCTGAATTGATTTTTGTATTGAATCAGCTCTAGTTGGATATAGTTCAAGACTCGCGGTAAATTGTGTATGCACAGAACGACACTTACGCAAGTGTCAGGTGTTCATTATTAACGAAAGCGCAAATAAATCGATCTTTGCACCACCGTGTTTACCTGCCCTCAACTAAATTTGTGACCTACTGTTGACTGAGTGAGAAACTTTTTAAGCACTGTTCTGGTTTGACATTGCCTTGATTTGAAAGTTTCAAAAATCCCTTGTGCGAAATAATATACAGATTTCCTATTTCGAGTCACTTTTCTTATCAAGATGAGATGCTTCATCCGAAATTCGGTGCAATGTGGTTTTTAGTAGTGAAACGCTCACAAACAGCTAACTTTCAGTAATTCATTTGAAAAATACCACTGATCTAAGATTCCCCTCTGATAAAAAAACGATTGTATCTGAAAGAAATTATTTTTATGTGTCCGAAAGGTGCCTGCATTTAGGAGAATATGATACAGTGCACTTGGTAACTACACATCTTTTTGTCACTGTTGAACAGATGTGTTCCAGTTGTGCGATAATCGAGTCCCTGTTCGCAAGTGTACATGCCAAATGCATAGCATTTATGAAACCGTGACAGAGTTCTTAGTAGTTGGCCACAAAACAGGATATTAATTACGTGACGTAATTATTCGTTTCCCTATTCCTCAGTCTAATTCATCACTCTTTCAGTGGCTGCTCAAGTTTCAAGACTGAACCGATCTATTTTATACAAAGTCGACTCTACCTCGACCATTTTTCTATAGACGATTTGTTTACATTTATTTCTGGACTTGTTGAAAATTTGTCCCACTTTGAACTGAACAACATTTTTCCCGTTTAATTTGTCCGATAGCACACTGGCCTTCGTGTGCCGTCCTGTGTTGCTAACTGCCCAAGGTTCAATCTAGCCGTAAGCCTTTCTTTAATTCTCCTCACGATTTACTTTTAATTTTCTACAGAACCACGGTCTACCTATCTATACTTTCTGCCCAAGTCCAATTCAATATATTGTTCACTGCCCAATTGCGACTACTGAACAAACGCAGGTGAAGTTCGTAGAATTCGGTTTCGCCGCAATTATTACTGAACGTCCGTTAGTGAATTAGACTACACGTTGCCTGTCAGATCGTGCGTTCAGGCTAATTAACCAATTCCTTGCTTTGAGATTACGGCCTTAGCACAGGATCTGATTTTACTGGTTACTAAAAGGTGTCAACTCTTACTTGTTTTAGCAAAGACTGGTTGCGCACTAACACATTTTTCGTATTAATATGTTAGATTCCAAACAAGAGATGCTTTATCCCACTGGTATTCAGTAGGGTGGAAAGAGCTATCTATCACCTGAGAACAATTTCTCCCAATTTCCTTGGAGGCATATAGATTGATCAGCTTGATTGGCCGGGAGAATATTCTGCGATCACTTGTGCAACGCATTATTGAAACGTCACAAGCATTGACTTTCACGACCATTTGTTTCAACTACACCCCGCATTAAGGAGGAAGGATTTCAGAAAAATACTTACTTCTTGGAAACCTGTGGCAAAACTACCATGTCTCAAAATCTGGACGCCGTTAAGGAGACTGTCGATAAGTTTTAACGGGCTGAATCTCAACTTTAGATTATTGCCTTTTGAATATTCCTACTACTGTTTCGATGGCCTCATTAGAGCTCGCTTGCAGTGTTAACCTTCGACATCTGGCACGCGAGGCAACAGTATTACGACTACCCCATCAAGGCACGCTACACGTTTACCACATCTGTGCATGCTGAAATTCTCACTAGTACACCCATGCAAGAGTTTTGGCTTCGCTCCCAGCTTTAAGTCATAGATAAACCCAAAGTGGGCAAAATAACTGTGCAATTGTTCTGGAAATATATAAGCGCTCCCGTCGGAGTCCGTTAGTGATGCACAACCTAGTCAAGAAGGTTTTTTTGTTATCCAAACTAGCTGCACTGCATCTACTTCACTGAGGAAAACTTTCACCCCCAGTTACCCCGACCAAATGTTCGCAATTCGTCAATGTGTACCTTGTATTCTAGTTTATCCCTCACCCCAGAAGAGCATGTATTTCGAAATGCTGGTATTACCGTGAAAACGAATTCCATCAATATTCAGAGACTTTCTACACCGTTTTGACTGACTCACAGGGTGTGCAAAAACGGTGCCAACGAGATGCACGGTGACCTGAGGTCTGACATATTGACTGTCTAATCTGCATGTAACCATGTTACTAGACCGCGTCATCGATTATTCTACTCTGTGTCTTGCATCCAACAGCGAGTGAGTGAAAAACGATTTTTCACAAAAATCAGATTTCATCGTATCTAAATGACCCATCCTGTTGTGTTTGTTATAATATTACCTTTTAATCTTTATTTGTTCGTTGAGTTGCATTGAGCTGTTTCAACAAAAGTGTACTCCAACCTGTCGTTCGATGGGAACCCCATTTGTCTGCTTGATTGGAGGGCGAGCTTATTCCCCCGGTTATCTGCAGCGCAGTAACGTATGCTATCAACTAATAGCAGTGAATTTCATACACTCGACCGAGAAACCCTGTCCTTAGGACAGAATCTGAACAAAGAAGCTTTAGTGCGGGTGAACCGGAGCTGTGTACGGTCAGAAATTTATATGAAATCAGACATCTGAACAGGGTTAAAAAAGCATGGTTTTTTGCCATAAGAAACTAAATCAAAGTTTCAATTAAGAATGGAGGTTATGTGTTCTGATTTATCAAGTGAAACTGACTGGAGGCTAAAATTAATCACCTTTCCACTAAGTTGAGTACAAATGACTAGTTGTCAACGATGGCGTAAACGCTGCCAGTACAGCTATGTCGGACTGAA